AGCCAGCACAGCGGGTCTGTTTAGTTGGGGGTCTTTAGTTGGGGCCTGTTACCAAAGCTGACACCATATTCAGATGAGCTTGCAGGCCATCAGACAGACTGGAGGATCTGAAGATCCTGAGAGATGTTTATGCCGTGATGTATCTAAGGGATGGGCATTTACCACGTTGTTCCTTACAGCGACAGAGGGGTTGCAAGGGGCTGGGTAAGGTGTTTGAAGAGCCTACTGTCACTCCATCTGGGGATTCTGTGGGTTATAGCTGGCTTGAATTAATGATGTTTTAGAGAGTTCAGCAATTTTGTGGGTGATATTATCAAATTTGTTGCTCTTACGGACTGTTTCAAGCTTCTCTGGTCAGAACTTAACTCTTAAAATGACTGGATTGTAAAACAACAGGTTCTTTAGCAGAGAGGTACATGTTAAACCAAGGGTGCGTCAAAATAAAACTCAATTAATTAAATCCCATTTAGAAAACTGTAGAAATATGTCACATAAAATATTTCTATATAGTAACTCGTCACTTTGCTGGCAGCTCAATTTTCAGTCTCTTTTCAAATGTTGCGAGTGATGGAGAATGAAAAATACTCTTTGAGACCAAACTGAACCAAGTAGATTCAGTTTCTCATTTTCCTTTTAAATTTTCATGTTTTCATGCAAGGTATAGGAAATAAGTAGTATGTCTAGCTATTAAGTAACACAACTCCTGGACTGGTTCCAGCAGTTGGGTACTGTGCGTGCTTGCAGCAGTGAAGGTTGGCTGTGTGGGACAACGTCCCCTGGGGTGTTCAGGTGTCGGCGATGGGGCTCAGGGAGCTAGGATTGTGTTGTTCTTGAGGTCCTGGACAATTCTTCGTCCCCTTCCTGGGATACCAGTGACTATGGCATCTCCCTCCTGCTGTGTGTGACACCAGGGAGGGCAAGCAGCTCCTGATCCTCAGCTCTGCCCAGTGCGCTGCAGGGCACAAAAATGGCTTCTGAGACAGACGGCAACTGCTCCATCTGCCAGGACACTCAGAAGGATGTGGCTTCTGCTCTGCCGTGTCACCACCGTTTTTGCCAGGGCTGCATCCTGCGGTGGACACACATAAATCCCGTGTGCCCACTCTGCAGAAGGACGATAGAGACTGTCAGGTTTTCTGATGACTCCCTGGAGATTGTCATCACAGCCCCTGATGAGCTGCCAGATGCCATCAGCCAGGCAGGGAGAGCTCCTGATGGCCCTCAAGGAAACAGCCCCCATTCCCCTCCACACGGGACAGCACCTCAAGCTGTCGGTGGTGTCCTGCCTGACCTCTGGGCAGAACTTTTCCGTCGACAACAGCAACTCCTGGACCCACTGCGGCCCTGGCTGCACCAGAGGCTGGAGACCATCTATGGGGACCAGTGGTGGCTGGCAAGGAATGCACAGAGCAGCATCTTGCATGCCCTCTGTGTCTTTGGTCCAGATGTGGAGATCATGGTCCAGAGGCTGCAGGACATCCTGGAGGAACACACAGTGCCACTGGTCCAGGACACCATCAGCATCATTGTTGGCCAGTGCAGTGAGGAGGCCAGGAGGCTGCTGCGTTCCCACGCTGCTGGGGATGAGGACGACAGCCCAGCAGCCAGCACCAGCTCCAGCAACTCTAGCTCCAGCTCCTCCAGCTCCAGCTGCAGCAACTCGCGAGAGGGGACTCCCACTAGCAGCCCTGCAGTCTCTGTGGAGGAGGAGGAAGCTGGAACAATGGAGGCTGCTTCCCACAGGGGTTCCAGCTGCCCCCAGGCGGTGACAGTGGCAGGTTCTTCTGCCAAGGGCAGCAGCCACAGTCCTCTTGCTTCCACTTGGGGCAGGGATTGCTTATGTGGGGGGACCCAGGTCTACCCACAAAGGAGGGCCCCTGACCCCCAGGACTGTCCCCAGCCCAGCAAGAGGCTGCCCCACTGGAAGCACTAGCACTGCAACCCTTTATTCGATGAAGAAGAAATAAATTGTTCATTCCCTCACACAGTCTTTGGATGCAGCTTTCTCCACCCTTCTGGTGCCCTTCCCCTTCCTTTTGTGCCCTAGTGTTGCTGACACCTGGGTGATTGGGTACACAGCCATGGGCCACCAGAGCCCCAGGGCCGTGTCAGTGACCCCTCTTCCTACAGGAATTCTTGCTGCAGTTGGATTCCAGCGTGCATCCTACCAACAGTAGCTCTGTGAGAAAATACATTGGTAGCCGGATGGATTGGGTGCAACATTGTACAGCAGGATACAACAGAATGTTTCATTTGGGAGGGACCTTCAATAACTATCTAGTCCAACTACCTGAACCCTTCTGGGCTGATCCAAAGTTAAAGCAGGTTATAAAGGACATTGTCCAAATGCCTCTGAACACTGTCAGACTTGGGGTATCAACCACCACTCAAGGAAATCCTCATGTTAAGTCTCAATCTCTTGTGATGCAGCTTTGAATCTCTCGCTTGTCTCTTGTTGACATGTATAATGCTTAGTTTAATAAGTGTACTTTTGTGGTTCCTGTGCTGTTGCTAAGAGAGCGGCCCTGTTGCTGATAATCAGCCAATAAGGAGCGGCCAATAAGCAGCCAATGGGAAAGCTGCGTGTGGCGCGAAGGGGCAGCCAATGAGAGGGCGCGTAATGAGCAAAAATGTAGCAAATGAGCGGCCAATGAGGAGCTGAGCGGCCGGGCAGCCAATGAGGAGCTGTCGGCGGGGGAAGGTGCTGAGGGACTGCGCATGCTCCGAGAACAAGGTGGAGAGTTCAGAGGGAGGGAGAGTTCGAGCCTTCAATCCCACGGCCACCTGCACCAGGAAGAAGTGCGCAGGCGCCAGAAAGAGTGTCCCATCATTTAAATATACCGTCCGCCCTGGGAAGGGTCATGAACATGTAAAAATATGCAATGAATATGTAAGAGCCAACTGTACAAAATGGAAGTTGGGGAGGGGGAGTGGGTGTGTTTTAGGCGGACCGTCCATCGCCAAAATAAACAGATACCAGCTTAATAGCACCTGTGGCTATTGAGTTTTACTGCTGCTACTTTTTCTCGGGATCACTTGGAAGGTTAAAGAGGCAGCATGTGGGCTGCTCTATACTATCAGTTGAAGCAGCTCACATGCCTGCTTTTAAGTCTTTGGTTCACCTTATCAGTGAGTTAGGTAATATCCAAATGTTTTAGAAGTGTTCTGTAAAACACGTAGACACGTGTTGGAGGCACTTATGTTCCCTGCCTTTCTCTGCCCTGACATTTCTCACTCTTTCCCCCTCATATTTCTTGCCCTTTTCCTCTCACATTACCAGCCCTTTTTTCACTCATATTTTGTGCCTTTTTCCCCTCACGTTTCTCACCCTTTCTATCCATGGCTCTCCCAATTTTCCTGTCATGTTTCCTGCCCATTTTTCCCTTACATTTCCTGCCCTTTTATCCTCATGTTCCTCACAATTTTTCTGTCACATTTCTCAAAGTTCTCCACTCACATTACCTATCCTTTCCCCTGCAGGTTTCTCACAGTTTTCCCCTCACCTTTCCTACCCTTTTCTCCCTTCATGTTTCTCTTGGTTGGTTCTTGAATGTTGTGGGCATTTGCTCAAGCAAAGTTCAAAATACTTTGAAATTAAAGATAGAGGAGAGTAGCAGAAGGGAGTAGCTGTCAACTTGAGATTCCCATGTTGTCAGGGTGCATCCCTGCGCGCCCTGTGTCCTCTGCGGGCCCTGTTTGCCTTCAGGGCTGGGTGTCCCATCAACAGCTGCAGATAGCTCTGAGCAAGTGGGGGGGGAGGCTCCTGTGCCCAAGGGTCGTGCCGCTGCCAAGCAGAGAGACCTGGAGGGTCTTGAGAAAGGGGCTGACAGGAATCTCGTGCAGGTCACCCAGGAGAAGAGCCAAGTCCTGCACCCTGGGAAGAGTGAACGGGCAGGCAGAGTAATAAGAGTGGCAGCAGCTTCCATAGCAGTCCCCTCAGCACTCCCTCCCCACCACTCCCCGCGCTACCCTAGGCACTACCTTAAATACCCTCGCTGTGGTAGCCCCTGAAATGCCCATTGGCCACTTCACCCATGTTGGGGATGAGGAAAACCAGGAAACAGCATTCGCTGCATGGAAGGACCAAGGGAAGGGAGGAGTTTCGTTTGAAGACTGGAAGACCAACTCTGCTATTGCCTCTACCTGCAACAACCATAATGATTAAAGACTTTACAGTGGTAGCTGTGTTAAGCTTGTGAAACCTATTTGTAGGTTGATTTTCCCCATTTTCTCTTACGGACTTTTTGCCTGCCAGGCATAGAGACAATCCCTCATAGGTCAGTTTACCCTGAGGTACTGACCAATCATGTTTCCCCCAGTTATCTCCTCCCTCATCCCTGCCTCTTAATGTTTATTCATAAACCCTTAACCAGTAGCTGTTAGCGGATTTGCATGCTCTGCCCCATCTCCACACAGTTTCTAGAACCTACCCCAACAGACCCTATAAAACCCACCATCTTGTGCTAATAAAGCTGAATCAGCCCTTGGCTGTGCAGGTGTTCGGATGCGTGTCGTGTGTCTCTTCTTGGGCTGCGTCATTGCCTGAACTTTACCTGCTAGCCTTCTCCTTGGCTGCTACCTTAACAGCTAAAAGCTAGCCAAGAACCCCTGACGCTGGTTCGTTCCTTTCCTCTCTACAAAACTGCGTCACACCCATATCCAAGAAACGTTTGCCTAGTACCAAGATGGAACCTGAGTGTCCACTGGCTGGTTTCCTGGTATCCCATCGACATCTGCCTGGCATACCTTATTTGGGAGAGTAAGTCCTTGCTGTGTTATCTTTTTTGCTCCTCTCTTGTTCCTGACTTGCTAGGTACCTCCTGGAGCTTTTTCAAGCAGCTCAGTTTCTGCAGCAGCCTAGCTGTTGCATCAAGACATTTTAGCTCCATGCTCGAGGCAATGGCTAAGCAGACTTCATCTTTTAATCAGTCTTTTACAGGTGATTTCAAGCTATTATACTTTGTAGCCCTTTCATAGTCAGAAATTCACCTGGTGCTTAAGGTTGTTAGTGTATTTACATATTGCATATGTATATATGCATATATATATTTGCAAATTTCACTAAGAAGCCTTTAAATATCTGCTGTAGAAATTTCTCACCTGAATTCCAGCTTCTGAAATTCAGATCTACTGTATAGGAAATAAAATAAACTTCTAAACTGAAAAAAAAAAAAAAAGGGAAGAAATATACTTTCTCTCACTTGCAAGACTGTATTCTAATACCTGTAATCTTTGGGCCAGAATAGAAATTATCCATTATTCAGAATTCTAAAATGATTCTTTCTGGACCTGCAATATCTGTTAGGTCAGTCTCATAAGACCCTGCACAGACCTTTGGCTGTTGTCTGTCGCCTTCTTGACTTGTAGAATAGATATGGGATGGCTCCCCAGGCAATGGGAGTGAAGATTAATAGAAAGCCATATAGTTTTGCTAAAGATGATGTATTTTTATAACTTAGAGCTTTCTTCATTCGTATGGCAAGAGTAATAGGAACTTGACAAAACTACAACTCAATTTTCCTGATAAATACAGAAAGCAATGAAACAACCTGTGCATTTAATTTTTTTTTTCAGTCTGTGTGGAATGGCTGATGATTTCCCAGAAGAAAATTCCTCTGGTAGAAAAAATATAAGAGCCTTCATTTTTATACTGAATAATATTTTTCCATATCAATAAAAGAAAACATGATTTCTGATGTCAAGTTATTTACTTACATAGTCAATATCTCCTAGAACTTGATTTAATAAGCTCAAGTTTTGGGTAGTAATTCAATGTCAGTAGACTTGCAGTTCCTGTGCATTAATACAGGAATTTCTTTCATTATTTTCTTTCATTATATTCAAGTGAATTAATATGTCGGTGTGTTTATAGCTAATTACTCTGGGTTAGTTGCTTTTGGATTTTTTTATCAGTAAAGCTAGACATCTAAAATATTTGTTTACCTCTGCTCATTGCCAAATTAATGAGTCTTTGTTGCATTTCTGAATTAATATCTGAGTCATATCAAGTCCATACTTCCAGTGTATTTATAGAGTTAAAATATGTAGCAAAATATTGTTCTTGCTTAGGAATACATTCCTGCATCAGTCCAATTTAGGACCTGGAAATGAGAATGATTTTTTATTTGGCTATGTCATGCATGACATAGTTACTATAGAGATAGCTGAGGAATGTATATATCACAGAACTGAGTAAACAGTTTTGGAGGTGCAATAATAATGTCAACAAAAATGGTAGGATTGTGTAATAAAATATTATGTATATAGCAAGGGTACTAAGTAAAAACTTCAAAAATTCCAGGTATTGATGTTTTATTGGTACCGCTTCTAAATACGGAGAAACAAAAATGCCTCTGGATGGATGAACTGAAGTTCTAAAGAACTTAGTATGAACAAAATCTGAAGAGTACAAGAACATTACTATATTACTTCCCATGGGTTGGAAGCCATGTTGTGTATCAATTCCTCCTGATGGATCATTTCTGGGCATCTGTCCAAAAAAATCCACATGTCAGCTCACAAAAAATGAGTGTATCTAAGATCTTAAGGCAAATCACAAATCATCTTATGGTCCTTTTGGTCACAAAAGGATGATTATCTTTAAATTGAGGGAGAAGAAAGAGACACTTCTTAATTGTATTCCCTATTCATTGCAGGGGGAGTTGGACTAGGGGACCTTTAAAAAGTGCCTTCCAACTCAAACTATTCTATGATTCTATGATAGATGTATTTTTTTAAAAGTCCTGAGCATTTTGATTTAGTGGCTTACTCTCAGCGAATTGTCTCACCTTTGTCTGACATGTGGTACAAGCAGGAACAGAGGGACCTATTGGGGAATACACAGCCTTTTTTAGCTCTTTCACTGTAACAAATTTTGTTTGGAAGATAGATAGGTTTCTATTCATGATTTGTGTAGCGAAAGCTATATTCAGCTATTGAAAATATATTACAACATCGATACTGACATTGAGTCACTTGGTGAAGAAAGTGTAGATAGGGAAGAATTTAGAAGTACTAAAACTGAGACTCGGCTTGTACTTGCAAACTGGTATTTCACCACTTGGTGTCACTGCAGCATTAGATGTTTGCAATTACTGGCCTACGTTACTGTTCGATTTTTTTGTTTGTTTGTTTGTTTGCTGTCTGTTTTGGGTGTAGGCCTTTTTTTTACTGTAGT